AGTGGACTGTCGAACTTCAAGACCTCAAAGACTTTAGAACCAAGAGGTATCAACTAGACAACAGCAGCCCTGATAAAAGCACTCACCAGCTGCATATATTCACGGACGCTAGCCCGTGTGCCTACGGAGTAGTGGCATACATACGAGTGGAAGACAGTACCGGAGCGGTTCGACTCCAGCAGCTGCTCGCTAAGTCTCGGGTCGCTCCAATCAAGGGTCTCACTTTACCACGCCTGGAACTCGTCGCTGCGGTTCTTGGAGCTCGACTTCTTAAGCTACTTGTGGATACTTTGCCACACACAAATATAGAATACTTCTGCTGGACCGACTCCCAAGTTTGCTTGAGTTGGATCAAGTCTACAGCCACCAAGTGGAAGCCCTTCGTTTGTAACAGGGTAATTGAGATCCAAGGGCTCACAGACCCGAGTCGCTGGAGACATTGCTCTGGAAAGACAAACCCAGCCGACTTAGTTACAAGAGGGATATCAGCGCATCACCTTTGTACTAGCGATTTATGGTGGCATGGGCCTGACTGGCTATCTGGTACCCAAGAAACGTGGCCGGCAAGTGAAGCTGGTCCTCATGAGTCAACGGATGAACTATGTAGATCAAACGACGAAGACACAACAGTTTTGGCTTGTCAATGCTCGCAAGCAGAGCCACTTTTCGAGCTCGACAAGTACAGCAGCTGGATACGAGTTGTTAGAATCACAGCTTGGATTCGAAGATTTATTCACAATTGTCGAGTGCACACCAGTCGTCGTCTGATGGGCCCACTCACTGCCCCTGAGATAAAAGAAGGCGAGTTTACATGGATGAAGAATGCACAAGCGGAAGCCTTTAGTATAGAACTCGCCTCATTGTTAAAAAACCAACCATTAGCTAAGGCATCCCGAATTCGTAATCTGCATCCATTCCTGGACAATGATGGGATTTTAAGAATCAAGACCCGGCTTGACAACGTAAAAACATCAGAATACGTGAGGTGCCCGATTCTACTACCAGCTGACCACCGCTGCACATACCTCATCATCGACCGCACGCACCGGCGCCTGCTGCACAGTGGTGTAAACGATACCCTTTCAGAGCTACGCGAGTGTTTTTGGGTGATTAAGGGCCGCCAGTGTGTGAAAAAAGTGCTCTCTAGGTGCAAAGTGTGTGCTAGATTCAAGCTCCAACCTGCAACAGCCCCTACCGCACCACTGCCGACCGACAGGGTTAAGAGATCACACCCTTTTCAAGTTGTGGGTGTTGACTTTGCTGGTCCCGTTTTTGTGAAAGGAACCAGTCCCGTGAAGGCCTATATCGTTATTTTTACGTGTGCCGTCGTTCGGGCGATCCATTTGGAGTTGTGCTCCGATATGACGGCGGGGTCATTTTTAATGGCTTTCCGTCGGTTTGTGTCGCGACGCGGCTTGCCTAGTGTTATTTATTCCGACAATGCTCTAGCTTTTCATGCTGCCAGTCGCGACTTAAAAGTGATGTACAGAGCTTTGAGAGACTTCCAAGTACAGGACTTTTGCTCTACTAACCACATTACCTGGAAATTCATTGCAGAACGTAGTCCTTGGTGGGGTGGATTTTGGGAGAGGATGATTCGCACTGTTAAAAGCTGCCTACGGAAAATTCTAGGGAAAGGTTGCTTTGATTTCGAGCAGCTTGTGACCATTCTTGCCGAAGTAGAAAATGTAGTGAATTCTAGGCCATTAACGTACCTCTCCGCTGACGCTACCGATCCAGCTGTACTTACACCTTCGCACTTTCTAACCGGTAGGAAGTCTACTACACTGCCTAGTGCTAATACTGCTGAAACGTCGGGAACTCGCTCCGATACTTTAAAGCATTGGAAGTACAGGCAGCAAATAGTGGCTGATTTTTGGAAGCGTTGGTATAAAGACTACCTCTTGTGCTTGAGGAGTGCACACATTAGGCGAGTACAGCCTTGCAACCAGCTTAAGGTTAACGATGTAGTCGTCATTAAGGAAGACAAGGTGCCCATAACTTTTTGGAAAGTTGGTAGAGTTACTGACGTGTACTTATCAAGTGATAATCACGTTAGAGCCTGCAAGATTGTCTTGGCAGGAGGTACGGAAGTTACGAGGCCAGTACAACTTTTATGCCCGTTGGAGCTGGGCGATTGAACTTTCGGGCGCGGAGGATGTTGGAAATTGTTTGAACCTCCCGCGCGAATAGCGCGCGCACCAAGAGACGGAGAACGACGAGGAAGAGGGAGAGTCCAGCCGAAATAGAACACGCTTTTTTACCATGGATGCTGGCGTTTGCGTCTCCTTCATTTGGTGCCTTTAAACTCCGAAGCGTGGTTTTCCCACACCCTGAATCAGACGCGCGCTGCCGCCTTCAGATGACAGCATCAAATCACCGTGCCAAGCATTCTCTTCACAGGCGCGCGCAACAAAACAAGAAAACAAGCACCAAAAAGCACGAAATCGGGAAAGATCCCAACTAAAAGTGTCGAAAGGTAGGACTGGTGGTGAACTCGGCTAAGAAGTTGTGATGTTTGAGTGGTGTGAGCGAGTAGTGTAGTGCAGTCAGTTGATGTAGAACAATCGAGTTATGACGTTGCTGGAATACTTTGGTGAAGAGTGTCGCCGGGACGACAACCAGCACTGGTGTTCGTTTCAGTGTTTCCTTGAAGAGAAATATTCAAGACAAATTCGAATAATTGTAGAGTACACGCACTAATTGTACAGTACACAATATTCGGGGCCGTCAAGTGTTCTTGCGCAGTTTATAATGCACGAGATTGCATTTGCAGCACAGTACGCTCTAGAAGGAAAAGGAAGGAAAGAAAAGGAGGAAAAGGGGTATCGAGGTTGCACTTTTAGAGGAGTAACTAACTTGCCACACCCATTGCACCATTTTGGGAGTAACTGCAAAAGAGTAACTACGCTCTAACGGTTACTCCTCAAAGGAGCAACAGTTAGCACAAGAAAAATCGGGTTTTGGTTGGCTTAACCAGCCTTTTGAAGTGTGCGCTGGCACTTAATTAGATGTACAATCGATGTGAAAGCATCAAATTCAGAGATAAATTTTGGAAAATTTGCAGCAAACGCACGGGATTCGAACTCACGACCACTCAGTCGGCATGTGCGTACACTAACACTACACCACACCAAGCTACGGCACCGTCTTAAATGAAACAGGCTTGTGAAGGCATCGATGGCTCGTTTGCACATGGCGCGAACATTCCTGCAGTTACTCCAAAAAACGGGCGCTTTGCTCCATAAGGAGGAAAGTGCCTCTGCTTGCCGTCTCATGTGCAATCTTTTGCGCGCATTCAGTCTTTAGGAGGAGCGAAAATTCTTTTTCGGGGGTAACTGCGCAGTTCCCCCAGAAAACTTTTTGGAGTGTAGGTCTGTTACCCTTGTTTTAAATACCTTCCAAGTGATTTTGTGAGTTGTAATCGGTACCTGCTGAGTTTGCAAGTTTATGTGATGCCTTTACTGAGAACACATATTTTGTGACTGTTGTAAACTCTTGGTTTTTTAACTCTATTTAGACCACAACCGGCTTTTTAATGCACTAAAAGAACCTACATTTAAAATACACGTGCTTTCGTGATGAGTTTCGGCGGGCCAATACCCGAGTTCTTGGAATCTGCTCGGCAATTGCCTCCCCATGGACGGAATCGGTGACCCTTTTCACTTCAGGTGAGTCAAACGGGCAGCATTCATGGAGAGTATTTAGGCATATACTCTACGAATGATTGGCCCTCCTAGACCAAGCTCTTCACATATGTGGCGCAATAGGTGCTCCTAACAACGATTCAGAACCGAACCTGTGATGTGCAGCTACGAAACGCATTATTTACGGCCCAGTGTTGTCTTGCGTAAAAATGCATGTGAAAGTGTTTCTCCTGGAAGGAGCGGTGGCGCCAGAGCGGGCGCGAAATGAACCAGGTCCATCCTGCCACTTCAGCAGCACGCAACAGGCCGCACCTTGTTTTTTTATCCAGCAGCCGTGCTACTACATAACACCTGTTAGAATAGATGGTATATTGCCCCGCCGTGGTGGTCTAGTGGCTAAGGTACTCGGCTGCTGACCCGCAGGTCGCGGGATCAAATCCCGGCAGCGGCGGCTGTATTTCCGATGTAGGCGGAAATGTTGATTGATTTGTGGGGTTTAATGTCCCAAAACCACCATATGATTATGAGAGACGCCGTAGTGGAGGGCTCCGGAAATTTTGACCACCTGGGGTTCTTTTAACATGCACCCAAATCTGAGTACACAGGCCTACAACATTTCCGCCTCCATCGGAAATGCAGCCGCCACAGCCGGGATTTGATCCCACGACCTGCGGGTCAGCAGCCGAGTACCTTAGCCACTAGACCACCGTGGCAGGGCAGAGGCGGAAATGTTGTAGGCCCGTGTGCTCAGATTTGAGTGCTGGTTAAGAACCCCAGGTGGTCGAAATTTCCTGAGCCCTCCACTTCGGCGTCTCTCATAATCATATAGTGGTTTTTGGACGTTAAATCCCACAGATCAATCAATCAATCACCTTGTGGTCGTTTCCAGTTATACGAAATACACTGCAGAGTAGAGCATATCGGCACGTCATATACTGCACGCAAAAGCAAAAGGCATGGTTAATAAAGGATTAAACTAGTCAATGTAGATAGTGGCCTTAAACTGCGCATTAGGTTATCAGGGACACTTAGCAAACACCTCTAGCTTCATTTTAATCCTGCAGAATTTTGAAAGTGCACTCGAAGCACAGCAAATCAGTTGTTTTGCATTTTGCCACAATGAAATTCAGTGCCAGCAGTTTGCAAATCAAGCTTATGGCCTTGTGCAGCACAATGCAATACCAAAGCCACTGAGTCAGCATGGCAACTGCACGCATGTTCCTGTATGCATGATGAGACAAAAAGTACAAATAGAAAAAACCATGAAAATGTACTAAGCTTGAAGAGTATAGATCCAAAACAACAAACAAACACTGTTTCACAACATATTCTGAATATTAAGTGTGCTCTTACCAGGCCACCTTGATTGCTCAGGGCGCAGTAACTGCCAACAAGAACATTCCCAGCTATTGTTTGCCGGAACACCTCAACCTTAAGTACATCAGCTATAATTTCTTCTGTTTCCTGAAAAATAAATATCACAAATAGACAGCCACTTCAAATGATATCTTGAGCAATAGCATAAACAAGAAGCTAATCCTAATGCAGCTAACAGCTCTAATTCCAGTCATAAATTACGCAAAAAAAGATTATCACATCCTGTTTACATAAACTGTGTTTTATTATGCACAGTGTGCAATGGTGCGGAAGCTACAAAAGAAGTATAGGTAACAAAATGTGCATCTCTGCACCTTTCTTAGCCAGCCCTCACGTGACCCTGCTCAAAGGCACGGCAGTGGGCTGCAAACAGAATACCTACAAGAAAAGCAATGCTATGCTATTTTATGTGGGAAGCGAGTTTTTAAAAGATATCAAGATTCTTTATCATATTAAATGAAACTGCACATACTTCTTAAGTTTTCCTCACTGACTTCAAATATGCCTTTATTTTTATATGTGAAGTTTATCAAAATTAAATTATTTAGCATTGTTTCCAGGAACACTAGAGCAAGAACTACTCCTAAAAACCTCAATTTAGACTCGTAGCTAGACACTAGAAAACTGCTTCACAAGAATAGGAATATTTTTTATATGACAAATAACGATTGTACAAAATATTAAAGATTTCTGTCAGAAATGTGGCTAATTAGTTGTTCAATAAATCAACGATAAAAAAACACTGAAACTGACATACCAAAATCTGCTCCTGCCCTTGTGGGCATTACTCATGTAAGCCACTATTGTAACGAAATTTACTATTCTAGTTGCTTCGATTACTCGGAAATCACTTCCAAAAGATTGCAGAGTAAAATATTCAGGTTTCAAGAAAACCCAGAAAAAGAAATAAAGCCAATTTTAAACCTCATGTAACACAAGACGTTCAGATTTTTTTCAGTGGATAATTAAAAGCCACCAGGGAAATAACCTGCATGCCTACTGCTGCAGAATACATCGTTCAGCAGCAGCATGGCATTTTCTGTGCCGCACGGGCACAGAAAATGACATTCGGTAGCGAAGTCATTCAGTTCCCGGATGACATTTTTTTCGGCGGCGCTGCTACAGGTGCAAAGCAATTGACATTTCACTTGATGTCGATCGCAGCACCTTTCTCGTGAGCATTGGGTGAGTAGCAATAAAAAAAATAAACAAGCGTTTACAAGCTTTACACACTAATTAAAAGTATAAATAAGCATATTACGCTGCCGTTCGATTTCGTTCGTTACTTTGTTTCATGACGTTGCAACCGACCGTGTAGCAACCTAAGCTAGTCAGATCTGCAGCGTAAAAAAGAAAATGGCGCCTGGCGCATTTATTTTACAGCGTCTACCAGCTGAAGAGAAGTTTTTAAGCAGTTGTTTAAGTGATTAGTGTAAATAAAATGCGCAAAAAGTTTCCTTCCAGTCGAATCAAATGTCGTTTTATACAATTACTTCATCAGCTGTGCTGTCGAGAGTACGCATTTCTTAGTCGAATAAGTTCTGTCGATGGCATTAGGTGATGAATGGCATTCGAACTAATGTCAATTCGTTCATTCGTGTGACACCACGTGAACGACCTTCAATCTGAAGGCATTAGGAGATAAATGTCATTTCCTCTGCCCGTGTGGCACGGGTATAAGCTCCATTTTAGTGCTTTTCCTTTACTAAAAAAGAAAAAAACAATACTTTTTTGTGCACTTACTACTATGAATTGCACAAGCTTGCTATAGCAGCAATAAACAGACCGAACACATTTTTTATAAATTTACATGCATATTTTACCAGGAAATACACACTTTCAAATCCTCGAACAGTTCAATGCCTAAAAAAACTCAAGAATGCCAAAAAACTTGCATGTCGCCGATACGCTGCATGAATATTAGGGGACAAGGGCAAATTTTGTACCCAAGCAGTCATGCTTCCCGTAGAAAACATTTTTCAAATTTCTCACCTAGAAAACATGAAACGCACTTAAGGGACTACATTCAGCAGTGGTAGCTACTCACATAATTGACCTTTTTCAAGCAAACCCAGAGGGCCCCACGGGCATGAGGAGTACTATAGGAAAAGTGTGTACACCGAGAAAACTGGCTGCTCCGTTGCTTGCTGCTCATTGATGCCATGTGAGCATGTGACTGCTTCTCGACTATTCTTACGTCGTAAATGTTGCATACAAATGCATCAGCATGTATCTCAGTGCATGTGGAAGGATTAACAGTACAGTGTAGGCATTACCAAGAGGATATGTATCAGAAGCAGCAGCTGAGCAGCATGCATATTATCGTATACATCATCAAGATGTACAATACAAGCCGACACAGCGAATTCATGTTTGTTCGACGATTAGTTGTGATGTACATAATTATACAAATGTGGCATACTAAATTGCCAGAGAAAGCTTTGCATTTGAGAATTTGGCAGCATGAACACTTCTGCGCTAGCCAAATCCGTTCAGTCACCATGGGCTTTGCAAGGTGGTCTCTCATTGCTCACAAGTATGACTACACATATTTACAGTGTAGTCGGATGTGAGCAGACACGCAAAAACACAACCAGCATTTGCAAAATGTAATTTCTTCTGTTAACGAATACTCACAAAAACTTATTTGTAAACTACGTGCGAGTGCCACCCACGCTGTCTTATGAATATACCCGATTTCACTGAATGCCGCCTGTACTCTCTCGCGTAATGTTTAAATCTCGGAGCGCACCTTTGTGGTTGTCAAAAAAGTCTGTGGACATTGACTCCAAAGAGATCAGTGAATAACATTGGCTGCTTGTGGAATTAGTCTGGGAAAGAGTGTGGCATCTTTTTATTTATAGTGTACGACATACTGGCACGAAAATGAAAACAACACTGATGTTTCGTAACTGCTCAGCTGGTTCGACAGTGGCCCATGGGAACACTACACAGATAGTAATCGTTGTGGGCGATCAAAGCTAAAATACAGAAATTACTGACTGAATTACACAGTAATGCATTATACTTTCAAGAGTGTTGCTTGATGGGCAAGTTGGTGCATACCTCAACTCAACGAAAACAACTAAAATGTCAAAGAAGGAAGAAAACCCCGAGGCTAAAACAGAGGCAGTTTTTTTAAATAAACGTCAGTTTTAGTATTCACCTCTGTGTTCACTGCCTCTCAGTTCTTTTTCGATGTTCTAATGGCTTTCTTAGAGTTTAAAAATGTTACACCTTGTCACATTCACTTGATCTAGAGAAGTGCTGGCACAGCGCAGGCTGAAAGCTAGAGCACCAGGCTGGCGCACTCATTGCGGCGACTTCTGCAGTGGACACACTTTTACCATGAGCACTTGCGTGCCCTTTGGTGGCACTCATGTGCTTGAAAAAGGTCTATTCGGCTCCATAGTCTTCACTTCATTACCAAGAAAACTGCCCACAAATACAATTCAACATTGAAAGGATAAGCCAGAAGCAAAGAGAAATAAAAAATGACAAGCATAATAAGAAACATAGCAAAGTACGCAAAATTGTAATCCATGTTGGTGGAAAACCAAACCTTGTCTAAATCAGGGTGTGTCAGAGCAACGTAATCATTGCAGACTATAACGTTTCCAAGTGCTGATAGGCGTTCTTCTATCCGCTGTATCTTTACACTATCAGGAAGAGAGTTTCGAAGGTGCTGAAGTTCCTGGTCAGTTGTAGTGTTCGGCACAAGCAAGCCATGTCGATTACCTGCGTATGCACATCAATAAATATACATTAATGCGTGTACTTTGCGACTCTTTCACAGTAATTTGCAGCTGTGCATCTGGTAATGCCGAAATTGAATCGTAAATACTAAAACGCATCATATAATTATTTCTAGTGTCATTTCAGAACGACTTTGCATCAGTTGCAACGCCCGCCAAAATATCATAAGGAACTCGCACCCAACAGCGGGAGAGCGCCTGAGACTACATATGCTCAAGCTTTAGTGATGCTGAACACGCCGTTTTCAAACTTGGGGACCTGCGGACAGAGATGAACGAAATGTTGAGGACGCTTTGTCCATGTCTTTCTAAAAAAAACATTCCCGGCATAAGCATCCAAAACTACTTTAAGAGCAGCCGGACAACAGAGTAAGAGGGGCGACTAACAATAGTCCTTGCGGGTGCCAGTCAGGATACTGTACACATTACACTAGAGAGATTTAGTTTAGAGCGCGCAACAACGTAGCGTACACAACATGCAAGAAGGAGCAAGAGTGCGCATGCCCTGAATTTAGGAGAGATGTGTACGTTTGCGCACACAGAAGATGCGCACGCTAGATTTCAGCACTTTCGTTGCGTGGCTCTTGCGAGATCTCGAGCTGCCGAGACCAAAGCAGACAAGATGGCTGCGACTGACAACACTACGGTGGTCGTGGCAGCGAACCAATAGTCCCTCGTATACAACCTAAAGGCACTAAGCCTGCCAGTACGAGACCCTCGTTAATGAGTAAAGGAAAGAAGTGTATACTTAAGGGCTCATTTTTCCGTGTTTTGACACAATATTAGAGAGATCTAACAGACAATAATGCGAATGAATATATGGGAAGTTATTAGACCAAATTGTAATGTAAATGTGAAGAAAGAAAAGTGGGTGAAAATTATATATATAGATATATATATATTGTTACGGTTGAATTAAAGGATATGTAGATTTATTTACAGGGGGAGGATGAAGTTAGGCAGTCGCGGTAAAGATGGAGTCCTCAGGCCGCACCAGACGTCGTCTTCCTTTTCTACCTACCCGGCACATACTACAGCCCGGCTCATACCGTAGCAATCCCTGGTTCACAGACGAAGCCCGCTGGGCGAGTTTAAGTCACTGGAGGGATGAAATTTCTTGAGGCGAGCCACGTGCACCAACTGCGTTCGATTTGACCAACGAGAAGGTGTCGTCAAGCGTGTCACAACGTACGTCAAATCAGTCAAGCGATCTACAATCACGTAGGGGCCTGTGTACTGCGGTAAAAACTTCTGACATAAACCAGGTTTTCGTTGGGGGGTCCACAACCACACAAATTCACCTTTTCGGAATGAAATGACATCATGGCGTTGATCGTACCATTGCTTGGAGCGATCTTGTGATGCCAGAGTGCGCAAGCGAGCACATTCCCGGGCTTCTTCAGCCCGGCACAGTGTTTCGGCCACGGACTGATTGGAATGGAGCTTAAATGGGAGGATTGTATCAAGAGAGCTGCGTGGCGATCGAGCGTAGAGCAGGTAGAAGGGCGTGAAGTCCGTGGTCTCGTGCTTCGCTGTATTGTACGCCTAAGTAATAAATGGTAATATCTCATCCCAGTTTTTGTGATTGGATGCGACGTACATAGCGAGCATGTTAGTAAGAGTTCGATTGGTGCGTTCTACAAGACCATTGGTGTGGGGATGGTATGGTGTCGAATGTCTGAACTGTGAAGTGCAGAGGCGAAGCGATTCTTCCACAGCGTCCGCGATGAATTGGCGACCACGATCACTGATGATTACTTGAGGTGGACCATGGCGAAGAACGGAGCCTAACAAAAAGGCAGCGACACCATCAGCTGTAGAAGATGGTATCTGGTAAGGTGGTCGACGCACACTATTATCCAGCGGCTGTTGTTTGAAGATCGCGGAAACGGGCCCAATAGGTCGATGCCCACTTGCTCGAAAGGCGTAGTAGGCGGTTCTACGTAGTAGGCAGGGTAGTAGGCGGTTCTAGAATGTCGTGCGGTGCACTGGTAGGTCGTTTGTGACGCTGGCAGTTCTCACAGCTCAAGGTGTATTGTTTCGTACAATCTCGCATTCGAGGCCAGTAAAAACGCTGCTGCACTCGATGCAGGGTGCGAATGAACCCAAGGTGTCCCGACGTTGGATCATCGTGCATAGTACGGAGAACGTCGCATCGAAGACTTTGAGGTACAACCAGTAAATAACGTGCGCCGGTTGCCGAGTAATTCGTTTTGCACAACAGTCCATCATGAATGCGAAAGCGACCACTGCCTTTGAGATTCCGAGCGTCAATGAACAAAGGCTCTAAAGATAAATCATTCAATTGTTCTCGTTTGAAGATATTGGCGTCAAGAAACGTGTGAGAGACCGCAGCAAAATAGATGTCGAGGGTATCTGCACTGTCCTTTGTCGTGGTCATAGGCAGGCGAGAAAGGCAATCAACGTCCGAATGACGTCGTCCACTTCTGTACGAAATGCTGAAGTCAAATTCTTGAAGGCGTAAAGCCCATCGAGCAAGGCGGCCAGAAGGGTCTCTGAGGGTAACAAGCCAACATAATGAATGATGGTCTGTCACAATCGTGAATGGACGACCTTAGAGGTAACATCGGAACTTCTGAATGGCGAATACAGCCGCTAAACATTCTTGCTCTGTCACCGTATAATTCATTTCAGCCTTGCTTAGAGATCGACTCGTATAAGCAACAACATGCTCTGCATTATCATGGCGCTGAACAAGCACACCTCCGATGCCAATCTACTTGCATCACTGTGCACTTCTGTAAGAGCAGAAGGATCGAAATGACGAAGAATAAGCTCAGATGTCAGTAGAAGTTTCAGTTCAGAAAATGCGGCATCACAATCAGGTGTCCATTCGAATGGGCTGTCTTTTCGCAACAAGCTCGTCAGTGGGTGTACTACGTCCGCGAATCGGGGCACAAAGCGGCGAAAGTAGGACATAGGCCCAAGAAGCTGTGAAGTTCCTTCAGTGTCTGGGGTGGTTTGAATGTGCCGACTGCTTCGATTTTGCGGGGATCCGGCCTGACACCATCTTTGTCAACTAGGTTACCGAGGACTAAAGCTTGTCGTTCACCAAACCGGCACTTCTTAGAGTTCAAAATCAAGCCAGCCTTTCCGACACAGTCTAAAACAAGGCTTAAACGGACGTTGTGCTCTTCAAAGGTACGCCCAAAAATGACGACGTCATCCAGGTAGCATAAGCACCCCTCCCATTCAAGACCACGAAGGACAGAGTCCATAAACCTTTCAAAAGTGGCGGGGGCGTTGCAAAGCCCAAACGGCATCACATTGAATTGGTACAGTCCATTAGGCATCACGAATGCGGTCTTCTCCTTGTCTGAAGGGTGCACAGGTATCTGCCAATATCCTGATTGTAGGTCTATTGAAGAAAAGTACGAAGCCGAGTGTAAGCAGTCAATAACATCGTCAATCCTAGGCAGCGGATATACATCTTTTTTGGTCACGGCGTTGAGTCTTCTGTAATCAACGCAGAACCGCCAGGCACCATCTTTCTTCTTAACCAAGATGACCGGTGCTGCCCACGGGCTACACGACTCTTCAATGACACCCTTCTTCAGCATTCCCTGAACCTGGTCAACAATAACTTTTCGTTCTGATGACGACACTCGGTAAGGCTTTTGTCAGATCGGATGGGCAGTGCTGGTGTCAATCCTATGGTGAGCGCGAGAACATGGTAAAGGTAGTGGCTTCTCCTCTTGGCAAAAGTCAAACACAGAAGCATGTCGCCTCAACAGATGGCGTAACGTCTGCTGCTCGTGTGACTGCACAGTGGCGCTAATCATGCCTAGGATCTGCGACTTGTAAGAGCAACTGCGCTTGCCAGAGACTATCTTTCTCGCTTCCATCGTTGTTAACAACCGCTACAGAACCTTCAGTGGAATCATCGAAGACGCCAAGCTTCATTCCTCGAGGGAGCACAACCGGCATTGGCGAACAGTTCAGTGCCCACAGAAAGGTTGCTCCTTCATCAACAGATACCAAACAACGAGGGACAAGTATGCCTTTCTTAGCACATTGAACGATGGCAGGTTCAACAATGGCATCAAAAGATGTGGCAGATTCTGAGGCGAACACCGCAACTGACCTCATTGACCATGGCGGCACTGTCAGCTCGTCAGAAACAATCAGAGCATCCTTCGCAGCCTGCGGCGCCTCATCGACGAGGGCAGGAACAATGTCACCGCTGACGGAACGTTCACCGCTTCCACAATCGACGAAAGCGCCACACCCTTGGAGAAAGTCAAGACCGAGAATCACATCGTGGGTACAACGTTGCAGCACAAGAAACTCTGTTGGGAACACCTTTCCTGCCAATAAGACATTGACGGCACAAACTCCGACAGGATGAAGTACTTCCCCACCAACACCACGAAACCTAGTTGATTCGCCCCAAGAAAACATAACTTTGTGGCCAATGCGACTTTTAAAAGAAAGACTCATAACTTATATCGTAGCACCAGTGTCCACCAAAGCACTTGTACAAAAAGCCATTTATTTCCACACGTATCTTGTTCTTCGACATTAAAACTGGCGGAGAAATCCGAGGCAAATCCTGTTGTGCGACCTCACCTCGATCGGTCACGCTGGCTAGTTTCCCGGCGGCGGCGGTGATGACAGGCGTCGTCCCGGCGAAGGGGAACGATGCAGTCGGCCAGATGGAGGCGTCAAACTACGGTCAGAAGCGGGAGAACTGCCACGGTGATCTCCCCGCCGTGAGGTACTCCTGGAATAGGTGGGCCAATGACCGTTGTTGTGATCAGTGCCCGTTGGCGGAAACTCTGATGGGGAATGATATCGGGATGTCAGCCCTCTCTGTCGACGACAGAACCGAGCTATATGCCTGGCAATACCGCAACGGTAGCACACAGGGGCTTGGCGGTATGCATTGTACTCCTGGAAGGCATTGCGCTGATGTGGTGGTGGTACGGGTGCAATTTCGTTCATGTCGGAATAGGTGTTGGCTGGCTGATGGGGGTAACTGAAGCGGTCTTCGTACCTCGGCAGCGGGTAGTTATTGCGCTGTGACCTCGGTGGTGTGGTGGCCTGTAGTTGCAGTCATCGATGCCTGCTGCCGCAATTGACACGGGAGGGGGAGAGGGAGGTGGTGCGGGTGTAGCTTAGTACGGCGTCGGGCGAGCGTGTCGAATGAGCTCTTCTCGAACGATCTGGCGTATTGTCGACGCGAGATCAAGCGGCGTGTATTCGTCAACACTTGCCACATTGGTTACATTCGGTAGGCGACCAAACTTGGGGGTGATACGTCGCATCTTCAGGGTCTCGAATGTGCGACAGTGGTTTATGACGTCGGTTACCGTAGCAAGGCTGTCTTTGCTGATGAGGAACTGATACACATCCTCGGCAATGCCCTTCAACAGGCGGCCAACTTTGTCTTCCTCTGATCTCTGTCTTGCAATCTTGCAGAGCTTCAAGATTGCCTCGACATAGGTTGTGCACGTCTCTCCTGCGATCTGAGCTCTCTGCAGTAACGTTTGTTCGGCCTGCTTTCTCTTAGCTACGGAACCACACGAGTGCTGTGTCCGTTAAGAAAAATACTACATTGGTCAGCTGGGTCGCCGCGTCTCACTGGTAGTATTTGCTCACCCGTTTGTAGTGTGTGAGCCAGGCGTCCACGTCCTCGCCAGATTTGCCACCGAATGTGCGAGGCACTATCAGATCCTGACGCAACCAGGGACCAGCCGCACGCGAACCTGGCACTAGCGGTGCTGCTGGGACTGGTAGAAGGTCTGCAGCTGCGGGGATCCTGTTTCCTTCTTCGCCGTGAGACATCTCAGCTGCCAGTGGTAACGGGGGAAGTCCAGCAAGGTGGCGGCTTTATCGTAGATCAGGCGCTTGAAGCGTCGTGTTGCTTGGTTGATTACCCAGCGCCTCCACCACAAAACTGTTACGGTTGAATTAAAGGATATGTGGACTTATTTACAGGGGGAGGATGATTGATTGATTTGTGGGGTTTAACGTCCCAAAACCACCATTTGATTATGAGAGACGCCGTAGTGGAGGGCTCCGGAAATTTTGACCACCTGGGGTTCTTTAACGTGCACCCAAATCTGAGTACACGGGCCTACAACATTTCCGCCTCCATCGGAAATACAGGGGGAGGATAAAGTTCGGCAGTCGCGGTAAAGATGGAGTCCTCAGGCCACACCAGACAACGTCGTCTTCCTTTTCTACCTACCCGGCACATACTACAGCCCGGCTCATACCGTAGCAATATATATATATATAATGCTCCATTAGGTACCCAGCCCCATTGCTTATCTATTTGTCAAGATATTTGTATTTATCCATTATTTCCAGCGAGACTCGTGCATTCTATGCCTTTCTTATATTAAAATCGTGACCACCAATTTTTCCTCATCGAACTTCAAATCTAATCTACATCACACTCAATATCACAGATGGCTATCGATCCCTGCAAATCTTCCTTGTCATCTATTAATACTAGATCATCTGCATGCATGAATGCTGGTAATGACTTTTTAATGCATTTTCCTAGCTTGAGAAAGAGAGACACTGAAGCCATGCCCACCCCCTCTAATTCGACCTCTGTTCATGTCCAGCCATAACGATGATCAGCTGGTAAAGTTACGTCCGTCGTGTGGTTCACAATATGCACTTGAGTTTGATAATCATTTGGCAGTCTCGGAGGTTTGCTCGTGTGTCACTGGGATTTGCGGTGCGCTTTCGTCGCTAACACTCATTTTGCTACAGCAAAACTGTACGGCACTATAGCAACGCGGTATTGCGCGGCTGTCGCAGCGTGAAGGCTATTTTCTTCAAGAAAAAAAATATATATAAGTGGTGCCCTTAGAACATTAATGCTGCAATGTTTTAAAGAATACTTGTGCAAAAAAAAAAAAAAGAAAGAGATTGCAGATTGTCTCAAACCAACGACCCCACCATCATGTATGTGCTGCCTTAGCCTATTGCACTATAACTGCTTTTTTTTCTTTAACTGCGCCACAACTGCCGATCGGTCTGGAGGGTCTAACAAGCTCGTTTTGTATAGTTGTAACACTGGACGCAACTTTAACGTTTTTTTATTTTTACGTCTGGGCGTAACTTTAACAGCTTCTATTGTTACGTTTAGACGTAGCTTTCGCGAAAGGTGAAAGTTACATCTAGCCGTAACGATTACCAGTTGCTAAAGTGACGTCCGTTGTGTGGTTCTTGAGTTTGATAATCATTTGGCAGTCTCGGAGGTTTGCTCGTGTGTCACTGGGATATTCTAACTTTTCAGTGTTCAGTGCACTTTAGTCGCTAACACTATTTTGCTACAGGAAACTGTATGGCACTGCAGCAATGCAGTTTTGCACGTCTGCCTTGGCCACGAAGGCTATTTTTTTTTTTTAAAGAAAAAATATATATAAGCGGCGCCCCTAGAACATTATTTTGCAATGTTTTAATGAATACTGTGCAAAAAAAGAATGCAGAGGAGCTCGAATCAACTACCTCACCGTCCTACATGTGCTGCCTCAGCCTACTACGCCACAAGTGCCGATAGGTCCGGATGGTTTAACAAGCCGGTTTTGTATTGTCACGCTGGACGTAACTAACATTTCTTATTTTTACATCCGGACGTAACTTTAACAGCTTCTATCGTTACGTCTAGACGTAACGCTAGACACTCCATACATCCTATTAGAACATGGAAACAGGCTTTACCGCGGACCATTCCGTATTTTCGGGCAAAAACAGCCGAGATTCCTTGAGTCGTGTATATCAACAAATGTCGAAACTCTACCATATATCGCATAAATATTACTTGTAACGTCTACAAGTTTCCGACGACTACAACATATTGGAGATAGAAAGTGCACAATAAAGAATGTTGTGTTCACACTGAAAAATGATGCGCACATGCACACATTGCCATAAACAACGTACCCACAGTAAGCCGTCCTATTATCCGGCAACCCGCGATGGACGCATGGATCACAGGTATGGTATCCGCAAGCTCGCCTTCGAAGATGCTGCAATGAACATTCACGCGCATTTTATTGACTCATGCTCCGACGCGAGCTGGCTGTAGACGTAAAGTCGTATGAACCCACGAGAGCGTGTTTATGCGATTCTTGACGCAGCTTCAATCAACGGTTTGACAAAGTTACGAGCTACTACTTTTTTTCTTCTTTATCAATTGCTACTTCGGTGCCCGTCACGGACCTTGCATTCGAAAATTGAGATATTTGCAGGCAACATTTCGTTCCGCTCTGAAATGCTGCAAAAGAAAGCTACTCTTCCACAAACGCCGGCTGCCTCTGACAACTTACCGCACGCGGCATCGTTGGCGAGTGTGCTTAAAAGCAAAAATACTACATAACACTAAAGTGGTCACTAGGCTGACGGCGCACGTGGACGAGGAGAAAGGGCTCACCTGTAGAAGTTCTCCGAACCGCCAATAGCCACCAAGCAGTAAGAGTTGGAAAGTTTAGCGAATACGCCAATTTCATTGTTGTTCTCGAACTGGGCTCTTACTGCCATATTTACTCACAACACTATACGCTAACTCGTCTTCCAAAGTGATAGCCACACCACAGAACAGTGCTTGCACGGCCACACCATGACCTACTACACTCCTGACCTGTTCAGATAGCGGGGTTCCTATGGGAGCGCGTGTCCCCGCTCTCGTTCAATCGCTCGCCGTAGGTGGCGCTACCTATAACCTGTTCGTCTGCTACTTTACGGCTGTTTGGACGGCGCTAGAGTAAGAACGGCTGCATTCCGTGATGAACAGCCGGCATATATGTGACTATTTTTTCACTTAGATGACTGGTCAAGTAAGCTGTTCAGTGTGACGAAAAATTTATTGCACACTGGTGGACAAATGCGAGAATCCGTAGACTTACATAGTGTAGGACAGCATATGTGATGTTGCGTCCATTTAATTGCAAAGAATTTGTGAATGACTTTTGAAATATTTGTTTCAAAATTATTTTTCATTAGTGCATAATAATTACGCAATATGAGTGCTCTGTTGGCCGAAATATGACCACGAACACTCAAGCTGACGTCAGCGAACAGGTGCTGACTAGCGCCACAGTGCTCCTAAGTTACGGCCCTAGCGGCAGAAGGTATGAACTAGAACGTGGGCGCTGGAAGAGGTGCTCTCTGGGCAGGTCAGGAGTGTAGTAGGTCATGGGCCACACAACACCTATATACTACCAATTAGAGAAGGGAAACTGTACCTTTGACTGAGCAACAAAAATAAGGGTAGTGGTGGCGCTGTGAACTAACTTATCCGACCTAGAGACGGCGCTGGTAAGCCTATCATCATCATTGCGCTAGAGAAAGAAGGAAAAAGTTTATTTGCAAGGGTGTGGGACATGGGTCATGAGCTTGATGGGTGGGGCCCTAAGTCCAGGGCTCCACTGGCTGCCGCCGCCTGCCTGACGTGACGCAGAAGTGCAAGCTGCACCTCTGGGTCAGAGCTGGCGAGCTGTGCCTCCCATTGCTCGAAAGTATTACGAAGCTTGTACTGACCTAAAAAGGTATCTAAATTTGGTGGTCGTTTTAGGCATCCCCACGAAATGTGGTAGAGCGATGGCGAGCCGCCACACCACGGATACGCATGCTCATACAGCGTTGGAAACATTTTGTGTAATCTTGGAAAATTGGGAAAGACTCCCGTTTGAATTCGGCGGAGGTCAATTGCGTCCTCCCCTTCTAATGATTTGTGGGGGGCGCTGTATTTTTGTCGCATGCCTCGCTGGTTAGCAAGAATTTCGCGAGGGGCCATTCTGGATGGGTCATTATCCTTCTCAATAGCATCCTGCTGGAGTGTTTCAAAGGATCGAATGTGCTGTTGAAGCTCTGCTCAGTTCGTGAGCCCTCGAGCACAAGCGTCGGCACTTTCGTTCCCCTCCAGGCCTGCGTGTCCTGGACACCAGATCAGCCTGTATTTGTTCTTCAATCTCCCGCCTAAGAATTTGCTTATTTTTATCGGAAGGCGGCCTCTTAAGAAGAAACGGCACGCTTCCTGCGAGTCGGAAATGATAGTTGTCAGTGGCTCATCTCTCTGTTCCTGCGCTTTGATTGCAAGGGCAATGGCAAAGCATTCCGCCTTGGCGATCGAGGACGTGTACAGCGATGCACAAGTCACCATGCCGTTGTCGCTGCTAAGTACTGATGCAACTGACCGTTTAAAATTGTACCTCGAAGCGTTCACATACAAAACATTTGATTTGTTTTTTAATGTTTTTCGGAGCCATCGCACTCTCTCCTCTCGGCGCTTTCTGTTTGTTTTTACGTCCATGTTCTTGGGCAGCGGTAAGATTGAGACATTGCTGCGTACGGGATCCGGGATTTCTACAAGAACCTCATCCAGGTTCTGGGGGTATAGCGGGAAGCCCACCCTAGCAAGTATCTCTCTCCCCGCTTTCGTTTGACTTAGACGGTTTCTCTGCGCAGTCAGTACTGCTGTCTTTAGCTCAGGGTATGTATTATATATACCGAGGTCCAAAAGCTTTTGGGTTGGTGTGCTTACCGGTAGCCCTATGGCAACTTTGTAGGCGCCCCTATTTATAGACTCGATGGGTTCTTCTTCTGATTTGTTTAACACGTGGAAAGGTAGACTATACGTAACCTTACACAGTACAAGTGCCTGTACTAATCTAATTGTGTCTCCTTCCTTCATTCCCTGTTTGTGGTACGTTATTCTATGGATCATTCGTGTAACTTGTTTCGTGGCTGATTTTAATATATTTATTGTATGGTTCGCTCGTTCATTATTTTGAACCCAGTAGCCCAGAATACGTGCGACGGTCATCTCACGTACTTTGACACCTTCAATGTGTATGTCTATGCTTCCGTTACTTTTGTACCTTTTTCCATGTACCCTGATAATTTCAGATTTTTCTGGGGCACAGCTGAGCCCGCTTGCCTTCACAAAGTTTTCAACTGCTGTTGTAGCCTCTTGAAGTGTCTGCTCTTTGTTAGCCAGAGATCCGCGCGTTGCCCATAGGGTGATATCATCCGCATAGAGAGTGTATCTTAACTGCGGAACTTCATCCAGAGCTCGCGTGAGTCCTTACATGGCGATATTAAAGAGCGAGGGAGAGAGGATGGCTCCTTGAGGGGTACCTTTGTTTGGCATCTCAAAAGCGTCTGACGTGACTTGTGCTACGCTTATCGAAGCCTGCCTTTCTGTGAGGAATGCCTTGATGTAATTGTAGGTGTTTGTCCCACATCCGATGTTGTTTAATTCTGTTAGGATGGCTTTATGCGAGATATTGTCGAATGCTCCTTTTAAATCAAGGGCTAGTATTAGATGTTCTCCTCCTGTAGGTATATAGCTCAAAACTACTACCTTTTGTAATAGGAGAAATGCGTCTTGTGTGGAGAGGCCATTGCAGAAACCCAGCATAGTGGCTGGAAAAAGGCCGTTGTCCTCTATAAAGTTTTGGAGCCGATTATGAATAATCCTTTCGAAAAGCTTTCCCATGCATGACATCAAAGATATGGGCCTGAGTGCCTGCAGGGATGGCTTCTTCCCGGGTTTCGGTATCGTAATAATTTTGGCTAGTTTCCATTCCTCGGGTATCTTTCCTTTGAGCCAATAGTTGTCATTAAAATGGTTTGTCAGTGCCTCTATAACTTTATCGCTGAGGTTCCTTATCATTGCATTTGTGATTTGATCTGAACCAGGGGCAGAATTTCTCTTGGCTGCTTGGGCAGCCGCTAAGACCTCTTCCTTGGTGATTGGGGCGTCGAGTCTCTCGTTTTTCGCACCAGTGTACTGCATTTCAATACTGCAACTAGCGGTATTCTCTCCTATGTATCTGTCCTTAAGTGCTTGTATTAACTCCTTCTCTGTACCCGGAAAATTATGCATTATTCGTTGTAGTGTTCTGTTCGTGGCCGATTTTGATTTTTCTGGGTCAAGCATGTTCCTTAGGATGGCCCAAGTTTTTGCAGTGCTCAAAGTGTCCTGTAGTGAACTGCAGAACTGGATCCATCCCTCAGTTGCAATTTTGTTAGCGTATTGATTTGCCTCCTCTCCTAAAGCAGCGATTTTGCGGAGAAGGTTCCGGTTGAGTCGCTGGTTTTTCCACCTTTTCAGCATACGCCGCCTGCTCTCCCACAGGTGGAGCAGGTGCCTGTCGACTGCAGGAGTCTCTGCTGTTCTTGCGATACATTTAGATGTTTGTTTGTGAGCTGAGATTATGTACTCTGACCATTCCCCAATCGACTCCGGTACAGAGTCGGGTGGGGGATCGCGTCGTCTGTACCTTTCCCAGTCAGTGATCACTGCGTCTCCTATGACCCTACGTAGTTTTGGAGTTGACAGGGAAATGCTGATTATGTAGTGATCGCTGCCGAGATTCTCTTCCAGGTTTGTCCAGTTAGGGTCGTTAATATTACTTGTGAATGTCAGATCTGGGAACGTGTCTCGACTTACGCTGTTACCCAGCCGCGTAGGTGTTGTGGGTAGAGTAATTAAGCTCAATCCTAGTTTGGATACGGCGTGTTCGAGACGCGTTCCTTTAGGGGAATCTCTCGAATAACCCCAGGTGGTGCAGGGTGCGTTAAAGTCGCCCAATACCACAAGTCGATATCTCGCCCCTGCAGTACCGACGAAATCTTTAAGCAGTGCCCCAAAGTCCTTATGTTTATCTTTGGGAGGGCTGTATATATTTATTATTACCGTTTTCCATTTGCCTCTCTTCAGAGGAAGGAGGGTGATTATCTGATGATTTATCCGCAAACTTTCTATATGCTCAACCTTTGCTGCAATACTTTTGCTGACCAGCGAGGCTACGCGGGGATAATTTGGATCTTGTAAACAATAATATCCCTGCAGTTTTACCATCTTGGGCCCAACCTGCTGCAGGCATATTACGTCTGGCTGAATTTGTACCGAGTTCATGTAATTTTGGAGTGCTGCGGCGCACTTGTGAAAAGTGCGACAGTTCCACTGCCAAATCTCTAAATGTTCTACACTTTTTGTATTACTTTTGGCCATGCTGCATGGTCTTATCCATGCTGTCACAGCCCGCTTTGGATGGTTTGTCAATAACTGGGGCGGACAGACGGCGTTTGTTTAGTGCCCTCTGCAAGCCTCCCACAGCATCGTTAACATACTGCCTCTGAATTTTCAGTTCTTCTACAACAAACGTTTTCATTTCCGCCATGAAATCAGCTAGAAGTTTATGTAAAGTAGCTATGCTTTCCCTGTTTGCTTGAACCTGCGCCTGCACTTGCTTTACTAGTTCACTGCTTTCTGATTGAGTAGCGAACGAGTTTTCGTCTATCGTTTCCTCGCTCGTTTCTGCACTGTCCTTCATGTCGGCTAGATGCTCTCGCGCCTCTTTATTGCCCTTGGTGGGGTTGCCTACTGACCCTGGGTATTGTATTTTCTTAATTGCATTTTCTAATTTGCTTTCCATTGACGAGATGGCCAGTTTATACTCTTTCCGCTCCGCAGCCATTTGATTTCTAAGCTGTTTAATTTCTTGTGTTAATCTTTTGTTCTCCTCTAGAATTTTCCTATACTGGGGGCTATCATTTACCGGAACATTGGGAGGCACTGGACTCGCCCAGCTCACCTTGTTTGGTTGGTTGTTTTGTACG